CTGTAACTCAACTCTACAGCTTGGAGGCCCCACTTGCACTTCTCCAACAGACCCCCTGACATCCCCTACACGTCAAGGAGCCTCCCCTCACCTCTACTTGGACTATGATGGCTTTTGCATTAAAGAGGGGAGAGAGAAGAAACTTGGCAGAGAGAAGAATAGGGCCTGGTCCTAGTATGCACCATGTAGCCCCTATAGAGGGAAATCACACCACTCAGCTGAAAAGGAACTTCAAGCACATTTTTTGGGGGAAAATGACTCCATTATTGATTTTTTTTCTACAATATACAGAGATATAGAGAGAGAGAGAGAGTTGGAGAGAAAAAGGTGAATAGTGTCTAGTGAGAGAAAATTGGAATTTTTGCATTTCCTTCAATACATTGTCTTGTAAGCTCTGGTATGAATCTGTAGAACTTCATTTAATGTCATTAACATTGTTTTCTTTCAAGTTGAATGCAAGTTTAATGCTCTTTTAAAGCTTTCACCATTAATGCTTCAAGGTTCTTCATTTCTTAGTTTTCAAATGGGTATTCAATATACTCTCTTATAACTTATGTTTCCTCTTAACTAGTTACTCTAGAACTTCAAATCTTTGCAATGCATTCTCATTACATTGTCAATTTCGTTTCTAGAATGAGTAGCTAAATCTTTTAGTTGGCAAAACTAAGGGGAACCTCCACTCGGGTATACCATTTCAACTCATTCTCCTCCCCGCTTTCAGAGTTCAATGGTTCGGTTTGACTGGGTTGATGGTGGATAAGTGGGGATTCTTTGATATTCCGTAGGCCTAGTCACGGTTTATACTTAGATACTCACCAATCTTATCCCTAGCTTCCCACGAATCAATCGTTCATTCATGCTCTATTGGAGGATGGTTTCGAGTTGAGACGGTATTCCTATTTGAGTGACCTCTTGGATTTGCCAACACTTGTTTCTCATTTTATTTGCATCAAAACAAACTTCACCAAACAATTTCCAACAACCAAAGATTTTACACTTTCTTTTTACCAAAATCACCATCCCTTTGGTTTACTTTCTTCCCCATGGAAACAACCTTGGAATACCACCAAGTAAAACACGACCCACGAAAGTCTCCTTGCGCTTGGGGATCACTTTTGTACACACACACACACACTTTTTGTGTATACACATCTCATATTTCCACCATCTCATTTTCCTTGCTCCTTGCCCTTTCTTTTGTCACTATCCCAAGGGAGAGTGATACTTCCCCTATTCCTATAAGTCATACACAATTTAGGGGTAGTATTTAAGGGTTAAAGACTAGCAAGGAATTTTGTCAAGCAGGTACCTGTACCTCGCAGGTACTTGTACCTCATAGGTACCAGTAGCTCAGGCACCTGTACCTATGCTCATAGGTACCAATACTCCGATGATAGTGGGCTCAGGTACTAGTACCTATGCTAACAAGTACCAGTACTATTTTTTCGGGGGTCTAGGTATCGGTACCAAAGTCTTATAGGTACTGGTACCTAGCAACCAGAAGGCTCAAGCAGCGGTACTACTTGTCAGAGTNATATTTTTTTAAAATATAAGTTACAATATAAAAGACATAAGTAGTTCTTAAAATATTATAATTAATCATAAAAATTATAAATTTAAAAAATAAATTTATAAATTTTAATGATCAAGTTACAACTTAAAAAGTGATTCATGAATAATGAAAGCCACCATACTACTAGAGAAGATTGTTTCAAGCTAGTCGTTTGGACCTACTGTACCTAAGTAGCATCCTGCCACATTTTCATAAAACCATGGTCCATGGAGAATGAAATTCACATTTAAGAGGGCCCCACTACTTACGAACTTGGCAAAAGGGTGGGGGAAAACATTACGGTATCACAAAAAATAAAATTTTGATACCGTATTAAAAATAAAATATTTTAAAAAATAGGTAGTTCTATCATCAAAAGTGATAAACTATATCTCAAAAATGATAAATGAACTCAAAAAATGATAAATAACCCAAAAAAATGATTCTACTCCAAAAGTTAGTAAATTTTATTCAAAAAATAATAAAAATATTTTTTTAAAAAATGATAAATGGTACCATTCCAAATTGAAAAGACTATTAAGAAATAGAGCATTGAGCATTTATGAGAGCTTTTAGGAGACAATTGCCACATGGACACGTAAGGGTTCTGTAAGTAAATAACTAAAAACCCAGTGACTTTAAAATTTGTCTAAAGTACTAGGAAATAAAATTGACACCGTACTGGCTTTTATTATATTTGGTCGTGTTTTTATTATTATTATTGTGATATTGAAAAAAGTGATAAAAATACCCACAAATATGATAAATTACTTATAAAAATAATAATTTTTTTTTAGTATTGAAAAAAAAATGATAAAAATAATTAACACAATAGTGATAAAAATATCCACAATAGTGGTAATAGATTTAAGAACAAAACATTCCAGCCTATATTGCAAAGGCTTGAAATGAAACTACAAGGTTGGAAGTCCAAACTAGTCTCATATGCTGGAAGAGCAATCCTTATCAAATCTACAGCTCTAGCAATGCCCATTTATGCATTGCAGTTACACTTGCTACCCAGGAAAATCTGTCAACAAATGGATGCAAAGATAAGAGGCACTCAATCAATATCTGGACAGAGCCATGAATCCCCAATCTCCCCTCCTAGAGTACAACTTGATCAGGATATAGAATGTCCTCCAACAACAATACCTGAGTTGATCAATCAAGAAACACATACATGGGACTTGGAGCTCCTTCTCTCACTCTTTAACCAGCAAACAGTGGAGGTCATTCAAAGAATAAAGCTGCCTATCTACCCAAGAGATGATCAGATGACATGGATCCCTGCCACATCTGGACTATTTCAAACAACGACTGCATACACATTCCTAAGAAAAGATAGAGATCAAACGAGCCAGTACTTAGACCAAGCAGATTGGAAGAAGCTATGGCATTCACCCTTGCATGAAAGACATAAACTGTTTCTTTGGAGGCTGGCAACTGAAAGCATTCCTACGAAAGGCCTCCTTGCTAGCAGATTCCCTATCTCTGATATCTTCTGCCCATTCTGTGGCCAAAATACTTAAACAGACACCTATGTTTTCTTCCTATGCACCCTTGCAAGAATGCTCTGGTTCGCCAAATGGGGTTTTAGACCAGGTGCCTTCTCACATTTCATAATGCAATAATGGATCCATAACATTCTAAACCCAAGCGTACTCTTTGGCCCAGATAGCCCCCCTACACATCAACTTACAATCTTTGCTACTATTCTAGCAACCACTATTTAGAAATGGAGAAACAAAATTCAAATCCAAAAGGCCAACGTGGACCCACAGGAAATTTTGACTTCACGGTCCTTTAATGAGTTTATTGTAATCAGATTGAGCCTCCCTACTCAGGCTTCAGAAGTTCTGAAAAGGCAGTCAATATTGGACCCCTCCACAAAATAGGGGGAACCAAGATTAACGTTGGTGCAACTATTGGAAGTTCGGGATCTTGCACTGCAGTGATAGCGAGGAATGAAGCAGGAGAAGTCCTTGAGGCACAAGTGACACTTGATATTAACAAAGACCCCCTAGCAGCAAGAATGGCCATGGTCTAGGCACATGACAAAAGATGGAGCTATGTAACCTTTGAAGGTGACTCTCAAATTGTTTTACACACAGCCCTTCTTAGCCACATCAAACCAAACTGGGCTATAGTGCCATCAACAATGACCTGAAATTCTTGCTGAAAGAGCGTTTGGACTGGGGGATGAACCAGGTCTACAGAGATGTATGTAAACTATGCAGCACATTTCTTGGCAACATGGGGACTGAACAGGAAATATGTTGGGAGTATTACCACCAACAGACCTTCCTGCAAAAGTCAGAGAAGCTGTGGCCATGGAGGCAACGAGAGGGGCATAGTAGCTATAGTATTTTAAATTTATAATTTATTTTAAGATTTTTGTTTTACATTATGTATTCTCGCTTTATTATCTCAATTTTAATGAGCAAAAAAAAAAAAAAAGGCTCATGGGATCGACTTTATTTCTTAACTTCTTTTTGGGCGTTGTGACTAAGAATTTTAAGGAGATGTTCTTATTTTTAGCATCATGGTACGTTGGACAAAGTAATGTGGATTGTACGCGAGAAGACTATATAGAGAGAGAGAGATATGAAAATGAAGATGAAGATAGATGTTTGGCTCTAGAGATGAACTTGTTCAAACAAAGGATAGTTCATAATTTTAACAGAGTGAAACACACGGTTCACATTAAGTCGAATTCTAAAGTTGAGGGGTTCAATTAAAATAATATTTAGTTTAAGGGTTTAACCGAAACAATGGTATTCTTTTGAGAGGCCATGTATGTAATGTAAGGGGTAAATTTCATACATATCCCTAGAACTATGGCATTTATTTTAAATTGATATTTGAACTTTAATTTCACCCCACCCTAAATCGAATTTCACCTCCCCCCCCCCAAAAAAAAGGCCAAAACACTTCCTTTTTGACAATCATGGCACAAAGGCAAAGAAGCCCTAACCCTCGTCAAGATCAATACAGTGAAACCACCAATGGCGTGGGTCTTCCTCGCAACTTTATTATCGGCATACTCTCTCGCCTCCCCACGAAATGCATCTGCTAATTTAGGTGTGTCTCCAAACCCTAGCGTTCTATTCTCTCTCCTCTCGACTCTCTTCTCCAAAATCTACATCACAATCGCTCCAATTCAACCCCAGTCTTGCTGTTTTGCTACAATTCGTACAGCCATATCATCCTATCCTCCTTGGACACTCAGGGTCAGTTGCGGAACCAGTTCACGAAGCATATAAGCAGTCCCTGGTGGATATGGCATTTTTGTCAAGGTTTGATGTGTTTCTTATGTTGTGATCATGTTTATGTCTGCAATCCGAGCACCGCACCCAAGAATTTTTGCAAGTTCCATATATTCCATTAAGCTTAGTCGTGCTTATAATCTCTTGGGTATTTGCCCTCCACTAATGAATATAAGATTGTTCATTGGTTTGAGGAAACTGATTACAATCACGTCGAACAGATTGTGTCAAATTTTTACTATAAAAGAAGGAGGATCAAATGCTCAAGGTTCTTGTAGAGTCATCTGCATCAATGAAAGGGTCGCTGTGTTTAGTTGACTTCAAGTAATGCAGATTACACGTTGATATTTGGATAATGAAAGACCAAAGGAATCAAATTTGGGTCAAGGAGTACAACTTTGATATGTTCACCAAATCTATTAGAAATCTGCATTACCTTCCTTCTGGGGATGGTCGTGATGAGGAAATACTGATTGGGCAACAGAAAGAAGGACTTCTCCTCCTCTACAACATTAAGACAAGGAGCATCAGAAAATGGTAAAGTTAGTCAATGAAAATGTTGACATCGAATTTGATATGGGTAGAAAACTTTTGTCACATGCCTACTTTGAGAGCTTATATTTCCTGGGAGCTAGATAAGTTTCTTTTCCTTGGACCTTCCATGTTTGAAAATATTGATGTTAAAATGCCCATTTGATGATGAAAAAGAGTATTATAAATCGTGTATTGTGCAAAATGCAAGCTATTTTATCTTGTGGCCTTAGTACATATGGGTCTGGCATGGAATGCCTGAGCGGGAGATGCTCAGGAGCGTTTTTTTTTCTTCCTAAATCCACTCAATGTGAGGGGTTTGACAGGACCTTTATCTGTATATAACTAAATGAAAAAAAGTACATGGGAGGAGATAACCAAACCTCCAAAAAAACAAACAAGAAAAACACAAAAAAAAATTTGAGGGTACGTTAACCTTAAGCAACTTGCATTCTTTTTCAAGTGTTAATTTTGGTATGTTAATGCTGTTTTTAGNAAAAAAGTACATGGGAGGAGATAACCAAACCTCCAAAAAAACAAACAAGAAAAACACGAAAAAAAATTTGAGGGTACGTTAACCTTAAGCAACTTGCATTCTTTTTCAAGTGTTAATTTTGGTATGTTAATGCTGTTTTTACGAATGAAATATTTCTTGAGGTGTTTTTGGAAAGGCCTAATTGGATTTAAAAAAAAAAAAATTCACTTGCCAATTGATTTTCAATCTTTGATTATAATATTTTTGATCTAAGTATAATATTTTAAATTTGAGAGGTCTAAGTATTACACGTTTATAAATTTCAGGGGGTGGGTGTAATTTATTGAATGATATCCAGACATTAACGGTAGAGGTCTAAATGTTACATGCGAACAAATTTTAAAGTGTCTGTGTGTAATATTTTAAATATCAAGGAATCTTAGTAATTAAGTAATAAATTCCATACTTCCTGTAATTCTCCATATATAATTAGACTATAGGGCCGGTGGATTTGTGTACCTAATATTCATCTCTTGGAATTTCAGGTCTACCATGGGTTGCACCGGTCTTCTTGGTTTGTTTTTTTGGAGTTACCTTAAAAAATAGGAAAATTTTCAGTGACATCCCTTCTAATTTATCATATTTTTAAGGACACATCCTCTATTTTTTGAATTTTCATTAACACCCTGTTAGATTAAAGGTGTTAATTAAAATACATTTTTACTAAATTTTCCACAATATATTTGAGAATAAACTTCATTCACATCTCCTCTACTTAGACATATATATTCAATGAGATCCTCTCTATTTTCTAAATTTTTTTATGTATTAAAATTTGGACAGATTAAAATTTGATTCGAATTAATTAAAATTTATTTTTTACGTATTAAAATTCAAAATAAATTAAAAATTATATTTTTTATGTATTAAGATTTGAGCTGATTAAAAATTAGGTCGAATCAAATTTTAATCAACTCACATTGAATTTAAATCTGTCCTAATTTTGATACATAAAAAAATTTAAATTTTAATCTACTCAAGTAGGTAAAAAATAAATTTTAATAAATTTGAATTTAATTTTAATTGACATAAATTTTAATAAGTAAAAAAATATAAATTTTNAAAGGTCCTAGTAAGAATGTCTCAAGTAAACAAAAGATCTTAACACTGGTATTTCATATCAAAAAAACCATAACAAATATGTCTCAAATATGCAAGTTGAATAACATGTATCCATACACATAATATATCTGTCCACACACACACCTAAATCATCCAACTAATCCTTGCAACGATAGAGCATTTTCAAGAAGTACATATACTAATGCATCGACATTGATGTAACTTTTGAAGAATAGTATACTAACCCTTCATCTCGATCACCATGGGCGAATACGCGAATTCTTAAGCCCTCGTAGGAACCCAAGAAACTCCACTGCAAGTGATAAGAAACCTTCAAACCCCTCAAGGTAAGAAACTCATCTAAGCACTCTGCGATATAAGTTCAAGTGAGACACACATTCATCACACCCACCCATACAAGAGATAATTTTATAATTTTCTATAAAACCACGTATATCACGAATAATGGTTCCACAATTATCAAAATATAATAAATTCAAGAAAATATACAAGAGATCACCAAGAAACGTATTTAATGTGACTGTCATCAAAGAACTAAGATTTTTAAATCAAGAACAAATAAATATTGGATGTAAATCATGAATTTTATCCAAGAAATGAATCATGTAATCAAATGAACGTGAAAACATTGTATATCTATTATTTATATTGTAAGAAGGATGAAAAAATAGGTAATTATATAGCCCTAATTCTTAATAAATAAGTTTGAGAAAGAACACCTACCTTAATCTATAGTGTTAGATTATATTTGTAATTGGCTAATTTTGTGGAGTCCATTGTAAATCTCAACGTATTCCATAGTCATAATATTATCAAGTTCAAGACCTGAAAGTGTCATTGAAAGAGGTATATCAAGTGTCAAAGCAACATCATTCAACCTCCGTATGCACATTCATGCTTAGGATAAGTTAATAACCTAGAAACCTACTATGAACCCTTATTTATTTATAGCTTAGGTTGATTAGGTTGAAAATAGTATTGGAAGCAATTCGACTACAACTCCTAGGTAATTTTAAAAGAAAAAATTTACTAAATCATTTTTGAGTTTTGAAAACATAATTTTAGTCATAATCGGACCCCTCTTTGAGCAACTCCTTTTAGCGCTCAAGAGAACAAATTTTTGCATGGTTTTATTCTTAAAAACCTGTAGGGACCAATCTATGCTCGCTAGAGCAGTCTCTTTATGACTTAGGGAAGGAAATAGGAAAAGGCCATGGAAGGCAGCACAAGACTAGCTCTTTGAGCTCTTTCCGAGCAATGCTTGCCTTAGTCGGGATTAAAATGTGATTTTCATTCCAGTGACAATCGACCTATAACTGCCCTCCTACCGACCTTTTGGTCATTCGCGAATCTGAGTTTTCTTATTTATTAAGACTACTGTTATTCTGGACCTATAAACAGGGAGAACTTTTTCCACATCTATGTCAAGCCTACTGTGAGATTTCTAAGAGAGAAAATCATCTTTCTACCTTGAAAGCTTACACCACAACCTAAGATCCCTAAGACCTAAAAGGCTATGACTAGAGATTCTGCCCTTCCTCACAACTTGGAGAAGAAGATCTTGTTAGTTTGATAAACTCATTGATGTGTGCACATCAAGAATTGTTGGCGTGCCTATGATTGCTTGAGACCAAGATGAACCCTGCGGCAAGGAGGTCCAAGTGAAGCTACACTAGACGTCGAAGGAGGACCCTTGGTAGAGATATAAGGAAAGGAGCATCTAACCATAGTATTGGTTGAGGTATAAGTATTGAGTACTTGTATGTTAACTTAGCGAGTAGTGGATTAGGTTTTGGTGAACCAAGAAACTTCCTCGTGATTTTTCCTGAGGAAGGTTTCCACGTCACAAATCAATGAATTTTCCTAAGGAAAGTTTGTTGTACACACTTATAATTGTTTGCACACACGCACATTATGTGTTTGCTTGAATGATTAATTGAATATCTATCCATACATAGTTGTGCATTGGGTTTGGGATTTTGGATCGATTTGAGATTGGTTAAGAGTGACTTAAGATTAATTTAATTAATCATCATGTGTGATAAAAGTTGCGGCGACTAAAGGGGTTCTCAAATTATTTGCTAAATCTTTGTGAGAATAGGTAACTGTGGTGGCTTAGGTTTTAATTGGTAATCAATTGGGCTAAAATTAAAGAACCTATTCACCCCTTTCTAGGTAAAGTGTTTGTTGCTCCATATATATAATCATGAGGGAAAATCCTCATCGGGTTCCTCCTCCTAGAACAACATGCAGTTAATTAACCCTAAAGCATTTTGATGCATTCCTATGCGTCAATCTTCCAAAATCTTGCCCCCTTTTATTTCCTCCTAATTGTATTAGTTTCCTAGGGTTGAAAACCATGTATAGGAACCCTAAAATGAGGTCCGAGGGTATTTATAGTGTTAAAAATGGAGAAAACACTCAAAACAGGTCGAGGCTGACTTTAGACGAGCATTCGGATACGTGTTTTTTTGGTGTCCAAATGGACAAACTCTCTTCCCCATGCATCCAAATTTGTGTGTTTAGGTATCCGAATGGTCCAAACTCTCTACCAAATATGTCCAGACACGAGTGACTTTCTGTCCCATATTTCTAGCTCGATTTTGACCAAATTAAAAGACGAGTCACGAAATGTTTTGTACCTCTTGAATTCTACTTTCTAATGCCACAAGAATTAGCTCAATTGGATATTGGGATAAATATTTATGGCCAAAATTCTAAGGTTGTGTCAAACTCATTCCTACCCGAATTCTGTCCAAAATACATTTTAACTTCAAAATACTTTCAAACTTCTAATATACCTCATATCTTCTATCCTAAGGTTGCTCGACCTTCCAGATTCAATGGTAGTCTTATTTTGACCTAATAGCATTTAGAAACTTACCTATCTATCCTTTTCAAGCTATACACCTTTGAAACTAAATTTGACCAAAAAAGTCAATACAAGCAAAACTCAAACTCAATGATTAATATTTTCAACAATGATTTAAAATTTTTACCTTCATTTTATTTATGTTAGGAGAACTCTTAAGATGATATTATCCTTATTTAATTATAGTATAGGGTTTTACAATATTGACTGGAGGTGTTAGTGAAAGTTTCAAATAATTATAAGTGATATATTTGGGACAAGACAATTTATAAGGGAATAAATGAATTTTTTTTCTTATTGCATCAACTTTTTCTTTTTTTAGGAAAAAGGCATCGGCTTTGTATTATTGCTAGCTTATGACATGAGCAAGACAACAGTGCATATGTGTTCTAACCTAATAATGAATAACAAATGAAATTATGTATAGAAGAGAGAAATTGTCAAGAGACTAAAGATCTTCAATAGGGGTATTTGTCCACAAAAGACATTTAGAATCTCTCTAACAGGTTTTTCAAGTGTCCCAAATTTAATAGAGTTCTTCTGTATTTGTAAACAACAAAAAATACACATATTGGATTCACGCCCTTTGAAGTGAAACACTTATTCGATGTAACTGTTGATACACAACAATCAAACAATAACAAATTAACTGTTGTATTTAAATTTTATATTTCATGTTGGTCCCTCTT